GGGCCTCGAACCTCTGACTAGTCTTACACGGTCTGCAACACCATGGGAAAGCTTTGGTCTCAATAATGGACTTCTTTGGGGGTGTGAACTCACCTGCCTGAAAGCATCTGGGCTGGGCAATGAAGGCACAACAGGGAAGAGGAGGGAAAAAAAATCATAGAATCCCTCCGCACCTCCTTTTTCAAATGTTACTGCGCTGCTTTTAACTTTTAGCTTCTTTTAGTGCCGGTTCCCTGTACAGGTTTGGCTGTAGCCCCACTCTCTGATTTCTGCCCAGGCAGGATGGCCTCAGAGGGAGTCCTGTGTCTTTACTGTTTTCTATATTGCAATGTTTTCCTTTATATCATGATTTTCCCACTGGTTGTTGTGGGAAACCCTTATGCTAGATCCAGAGCTCTGATGCAGTTTCATGAGAGCCACTTCTCTGAGTTTTCAGTCCCTCCCCACAAAGCCTGTCCTACCTGACTTTGCTCTGCCCCCGCCAAACCGGATGTTTTACATAGTTTTTTAAAACTTTGTTTTATTATAAATTGGATGAATATTTATGGAGAGTTCTTCACACTTTTGAAAGTGATGTTTCTATCTTTTTAAACATTCCCCAAAGAATTCTAAGTTCTTTTATTTAAACCATGTCAAAATGGCAGTACTGGCATCTGGAGTGACTCAAATCATGTTCCATTTCAATGTCCTTTGAGTTTGGGGAAGAAAAAAAGTCTGGAGACAAAATAGGCTAAGATTTCCCAACAAAATTCTCATATGACAGCTCTTGTTACCCTCAAAGAATGTGCAGGTAGATTATGATGGAAACAAATTCCTTGGTGCAACTTTCCTAGGTATTTTTTTAACCAATGACATTTTCAATTTTCTTAAAACTTTTTCATAGTAAGTTCTTATGATTGTTCTTTGAGAAAATCTATCAAGATTTCCCCTTTGGAATTAAAAAAATAAACCAGTCACCAGAACCTTCAAGACTGACTTCTCTGCCTTGCTCATCTTTTGAGGTCTCCCTAACTGTCCTTAAAATATTTATCCATCTAACAACTTTTGTGTGGCGCACAATGATTTGGGAACACATCCAACTGAGTTTTGCTAAAAATTTGTTATTATCCCTGACCTCCTAATAGTCCCGCCCCATGGCACAAAATGAAGAGAAGTATATTACTGACAGACATTGTCTGTTGCCATCCACCGATTGCAGAGACATATATGAACAGGGTTTCTTTGGAGTAAACCTGTGCTTTTATAAACTGGAACCCTAATAGTCGTACTTGTAACTTATACTCAAGTGTATATGTGTGTGTATGCATGCATATTTCGTATTGCAGTGTAAAGCATACAATTTCATGTGCTGCTTGACATCCAGTCTCCCAAAACTTCAAAGTCTTAATTATGAGTTCTCCTTATATTCCCCATTCAGCAGGAACACTGTTCTAATTAGTTAGTTCCCCTATCGACTGGACCTGCTGCACTCACCATGGTTCTCAGCCCAACAAGTTTCACTTCCTTGCCAGCCTGCAGAATTCTTCAAACAAACAAATTACAATCGGGGGCCATCCTTCACTTTTTACTATAAAGCCTGTCTCCCACAGCCCCTTTTGGTTTGCTGTTCTCACAAGTGCAATCCCTATGTGGCCCTGCATGGTGTGTGGTGCCCTTTTCCTGATTGTAAGTAAAAGCAGATAACAGAATAGTCTCAGGATTACAAATAAATTCCATTCCTAAATCTGTCTTTTGATTTTGTATGCAAGTCAGAACCTTAGGTATGGTCTGTATCTATTGCCAATTAGTCAAATATCTGCCTTAGTATATAGCATATAGTGTACCCTCTTTCTATGCATAAAAAACATTTAAGAAACACTTCCAGGAACACTAAAACATCCTTAACATAATACACTCTGTCCTCACTTACCAACTATCTTGGTAATCCCACATTTCTCATTTACTACAATAGTAAAGATCTATTATCCATTGATATTTTGCATTAATGGTATACATCTGGTAGCAATGAACACCAACATGCAAATCAAGAGTAATACTGATTGTGATGGTCAAGGTTATGTGTCAGCTTGGCTGGGCCATAATTCTGAGTGGCATGACAATTAGGTAATGATGTAATTTATCAGTTATGCAGCAGTGCAATTTGGAAGTTATGCAATGATGAGAAACATACTTCAGTTTTACATAATGCCAATTTTTGCATAATTACCTAAGTTTTGAAACCTAACCCTGTCAATAAGCAAGAGAGTGTAATATAATAATTTTGATGCAGGTTGCAAAGTTTTTATTATTGCAAACCTTTGTAAATACCTCACATTTTTAACTTAATAGGCTTTATAATGTTGTTGTTCTTAAGTGCCGTCCAGTTGATTCCGACCCACAGCAACCCTGTATAGGGTTTCCAAGGAGCAGCTGGTGAGCTTGAAACACCGACCTTGCAGTTCAAACGACTTTGCAGTCTGGCGCATTAGCCCACAATTCCAACTAGGACTCCGTAGACTTTATAATAGGTTGTACGTATTTCCCTTCCTAACTTTACAACTGTGCCCTCTGAAATAAACAAAAACACCCTCTAGCTCTACTTCTTAGATTTGACTGAATCCTTGTTACCAAACTCAAGGGACTTGCTGCCTGTTCTTTGTTGCTGTTAAGTACTGTGTGTTGGTTCTGACTCATAGCAACCCTGTACAGGGTTTCAGAGGAGTTGATGGTGGGTTTGAACCTCTGACCTTGTGGCACAGTCTTAGCCTACATCACCACACCAGAAGTCCTGTTCGCTAGCAAATAATAATTTAAAGTCATGCAGATTTTAGCACAGCAAAGATTACTTGTAACAAGAAGACAAGAGATCATTCGCAAAGCACTGTTTCCCTTAACAGAGGATTCAAGGAGCTTTTAAGCTTTCAGGGGAATAAGACAGCATTATTCAAGAGGGCAGGGTTAGGATTTAGTCTGGAAATCAGTGTCATACTCCTTATTTCTAAAATGGGTCTGAGTGGCAGTATTTCTTGGATGTTTCATGGTCAGTCAGAGATCAAGGTACTCCTTATGGAGTATATTCTCTAATCAGGCTGAAACTGGCTCAGGGGTCATGACTGAAAAGTATCTGTAACAAGATTAAGAGAGAAAGCAGGTAAAGTCTTCTTTTAATGTCTTTAAGTCTGATTGTTGTTAAATTCTGTCGAGACAGTTCTGACCCATAGCGATCCTGTATAGGGTTTCTCAGGAGTAGCTGGTGAGTTTGAACTGCTAACCTTACGGTTCAAACTGAACTTGCAATCAAGTGTTTACTCGTCATGCCTGATATAAGTCTGATATGTCGAGGGGCCTCTTTTCAAGCAGAAACGCTAATGGACCTTTATAGCAAGGAGCAACCTCGTTTATGTGGACTTTTTTGTGTAATTTTCTTGCATGATTTAATTCAAGGCATTCTGAATAGAAATTCTTTAAACTAGTTGGCTTCAGTTGATTTGAGGATTCTTCTTCACAGTTTCCCCCTTCCGTGTCCTTTTAAGATGGTTTTTCTTATTTCACGGATTTCTCCATTGAGGACTCTAATTGTTGGCTAATAAATCTTCCAGTTTAGTTCCGATGCTGCTAAACGACTAGGTGACTTCAGTTTTACAAGATAAACATTTAAACCCTTATATCTATTTTCCCTCATTTTGGGTTTTATGACTTCAGGCCTGCCTACATTTGAAATATCTAACAAAAAATTTTTGACTACTGTTGTTAAGTGCCCTTGAGTCGGTTCTGGCCCACAGCGACCCTGTACAGGGTTTCCAAGGAGCGGCTGGTGAGCTTGAACCGCAGACCTTGAAGTTCAAACCGACTTTGCAGCCCAGCATTAACCCACATCGCCACAGCAGGACACCCACCAGAATTATTGGTGGCTGTTGTGACGTGATGTCAGTTCCTACTCATAGCAACCCTTCAAAGGGTTTCCCAGGCTGTTAATCTTTACGGGAGCATAAAGCTTCATCTTTCTCCCTGGGAATAACTGGTAGTTTCGAACTGCTGACTTTTAAGTTAGCAGCCCGACTCGTAATCATTTCGCTACCAGAGCTTTATACCGGCACTATTACTTCCCTTCATTTCTGTTTCTCCCTTCCCATCACTCCACCTGTTCTTTGTCCTTCATAACTTCACTTTCTCCCTCTTGACTCTATATCCCATTATCTTAATTTCTCGCCTGTTAGGCCTGGACACATCAGTCCGTCTTTTCAAGTCCGTATTTGCTTGCTCAATGGCTGTTCCAGGAAAGCTCCACTGGAACCAAATCTGCTGCCTATCTTCTCCACTCCCTCCAAGCATTTAGCACCGGTCAGGGCGTATCCACGCTAAAATGAAATTTACACAGGATCGAAGATTGTGAATGACATTTCTATCTTTTCCATTTGTAGTTTCCAAACTTTCAGTGAGATACTGTTAAGTGCCGTCGAGTCGATTCCGACCCATAGCGACCCTATATAGGGTTTCCAAGGAGCAACTGGTGAGCTTGAACTACCAACCTTGCAGTTCAAACGATTTTGCAGTCTGATGCATTAGCCTACAGCGCTACACCAACGAGATGTTGTTGTTGTTAAGTGCCGTTGAGTCGGTTCCGACCCATAGCGACCCTGTACAAGGTTTCCGAGGGTGTAAACCTTTACGGGAGTAGAAAGCCTCATCTTTCTCCCGCGGAGCTGCTGGTAGTTTCGAAATGCTGACCTTTAGATTCGCAGCCCGATTCATAACCACTAAGCTACCAGAGTTTTTTGAAATATTACTGTTCTCAAAAAGAGGTAAACCATTTTATTAAGGCGTCTGTCTAAGCGGAAGTTCCGACGGCCTCGCAGGGCATGACGGATCCGACGCGCGCGGATATACGTGCGCGCATCTAGCAACGCGGAGGCGCGCGGCGTAGCGCTCCCGCTGATGTTGGTGCTCACGTGCCCCCTACGTAGCCTCCTTTCTCTGGTGGCGCTAAGGGCAAAAGGCGTAGGCGCGTGCCCGGCGGAACCATGTTTGTGGCGCGCAGCATTGCCGCGGACCATAAGGATCTCATCCATGATGTCTCTTTTGACTTTCACGGGCGGCGTATGGCGACATGCTCTAGTGACCAGAGCGTTAAGGTGTGCATGGTGGTCTAGGCAAGGCCGAGCTGGGAAGGAGGGCCGCAGGAGGGGTGAGAGCATCAGCTTGAATGGGGTGAGGGGTGTGCCAGTGTGTGTGTGTATATATTGGGGTTGGGGGGGGAGAGGAAGGCGGAAAGGGGTGCATGTAAGGGGCTAGGCGTGGTTGAGTGTCCCTGAGAGGCCCGCGAGCCCGGGGTTCGGCGTAGGCCCTCCTTCCTCCTTGTTCACAGCTAGGCCTGACAGCGTTGCCCCTTGCTTTTTCTTCTAAGGATTTTATGGTTTCAGTTTGCACATTGGGAGCGTGGTGACTCTGTAGGATAAGCACAGGACTGCGAACCACAGTGTTGGTGGTTCGTGCCCACCAGCCTCTCTGCGTAAGCATGATGAGGCTTTCTGCTACCTCAAAGATTAAAAAAAAGGGGGGGGGGCTGGTCGGAAACCCATTATAGGGTCGCTATGAGCGTAACCGACTCGACGGCACTAACAGTTTGCCCATTTAGGTTCTTTATCCAGTTTTAGATTGTTTTTGTGTATGGTGCGAGGGATGTTGTTGTTAAGTGCCATCGAGTCGGTTCCTACCCATAGTGACCCCGTATAGTGTTTCCAAGGAGCAGCTGGTGAGCTTGAACCGCAGACCTTGCAATTCAAACGGCTTTGCAGTCTGGTGCATTAACCACAGTGCCACACCAGGACTCCGGTGCAGGTAAAAGTACACATACTTTGAATTGTGCAAGTAATATGATTTTTTTTTTTTTTAAGTAAGAAAAGAAATTACATATGTTTATTGGTCACTTTATACTCATTGTTAAGATTTCAAGATTTTCTGTCATTTCTTTAAAATAATTGATATGGTATTATATGTAATCTTGAAGTTTCATGCAGGAGTTACTTCCCACTGTAGCTGCATTGTCTTAATAGTTATGTTACTTGACAGGGATGAGTGAGCACTTCCAGCATTTGCTGAAGCATCTCAACTTGCATTCCGACAATTTTTAGAGCCTTGTTTTTCAGCAATGCCTTCAATGCAACTTGAAGTTGTTAACTTCATTACCATTGTTTTTTTAGAGTATGCGATCTTCTGAAATTTGTTGAATATCAGCCAGTTCTTTTTGGTACATTGACTCTGTGCACACCAGTCATCCTCTTTTGAAGTTTCCCATTCAGTTTTTAACCCCATTGTTGCTGATAAGTGCAATCAAGGTGGTTCCAACTCACAGCAAGCCTGTATAAGATTTCTGAGAAGGGGCTGGGAGTTTGAAGCACCGACCTTGTGGTCCAGTGCTTATCCTATAGCGCCATACCAGGACTCCACCTATACATGTTGTTGTTAAGTGCCATCGAGTGGGTTCCATCCCCTAGTGATATACACGGTTTGCAAGGAGCAGTTGGTGGGGTTGAACTGGTTGAGGTTCGCAGTGCAAGTGCTGATCCTACAGTGTTACACCAGGAATCCCTCTATGCATGTTGTGACTTGCAAATCTGTCCACTAGGATTTAGTCACATGTTTGTATAATGAGTCAACACCAAAAAGATGGTCAGAGGTAAGGAGGAAGGATAAGACCAAAGGAAAGAGAGGGAGAGAGAGTGTGTGATCTAGCATCTAGTGCTGACCTCCTTAAGGCTGAAGGCTTGTAAGTGAATCATTTTTTTAAGTGCTTTAATATGGAGTCCTGGTGTGGCGCTGACCACTTGCTCCTCAGAAACCCTCTACAGGTCGCTATGAGTCAGAACCAACTCGAAGGCACTTAACAACAAAAACAATATGGACCAGAGTCCTGGTGTGGCACTCTAGGGTAAGCACTGGACTCTATGGTTCAAACCAACCGGCTACTCCTTGGAAACCCTATATAGGATCACTGAGGAGCTCTGGTAGTGTAGTGGTTATGAATCTGGCTGCGAACCGCAAGGTCAGCAGTTTGAAACTACCAGCTGTTCTGCGGAAGAAAGATGAGGTGTTCGGCTCCTGTAAAGATTTACAGGCTCGGAAACCCTGTACAGTTTCGCTATGAGTCGAAACTGACTCCACAGCCCATCCCAGTAGCAGCATGAGTCAGAACGGAGTCAACGGCACTTAACAACAACAATATGGATCAAGGGTCGTAATACTGAAGAAGGCCAGAGAGAGAAAAGAGATCCTAGTGGAGAGACATGCACTGCTCAGGGGAGGTCTGTGTGACTGAGATGGCGCTATGTGGTTCTAAAAGAAGCCCTGTCCAAAGGGGTCCGAGAGGTGGCCTGTAGTGAGGAACTTAGAGAAAGCTGAGAGCTGTCCTACACCTAAGAAAACAGGGGTGTGCTGTTCACTTTGGAGGAGTCTTCCAGACCTTGCCTATGTATTCCTGACACTTATCCTGAGTTGTAGCTTTTTACTTACAAGTTGACCTTGCTCTTATAACTACTTTTAAGTTAGCCCTGATCCCATGTTGTAGCTTGTAGCCTGTTACTTCCCTAACAAACCATATACCTTTAAGTACAGTTTGTGAGTTTTGTGAGACATTGTAACAAATTACCAGACCCAACAGAGCTTGAAGAAGAGAGCCGAGAGGAAGGAAAATGTCCATGTCAGAGATGATGGAGAGGTTCAAAATCTAGGAAGTGTTTTATCTCTGCCTCAGAGAACCAGCTTTATGCTGTTTTTTTTTTTTTTTTTATTAAATAAAATAATGTTTGAATACTGGGATTCAAAATAAAATAATGTCAGAATACTGGGATTTGCTATAACAGTCCAGATTCATTGGATTTTGTGGTTTTGGAAAAAGGGGGATAAATGGGAGCACAATGAGAAATCTTTGGCTTCTGAATGGGATTTTAAAAAGGCAAGAAAACCTATGATTTGGAACAGCTGTTAGGTTGCAATCAGATACTAAAGAAAAGCTGCATGTGGGAAATGAGTGGTGGGTCCTACTCCTGAGGAATTATCTCATTGGATGCATAAGGAAATATAAGCTTGACTCAGATATTGTGGGTTCACTTCTAGACCACCACAATAAAGCAGATATTGGAATAAAGCAAGTTCCGTGGATATTTTTGTTTCCCAGTCCATGTAAAAATTGTGTGCATACTATATCATTATCTATCAAGTGTGCATTAAGAATAGCATTAAGAAAAGTTTGAAATATTGTTTGAATTATCGAAAGGTGACAAGAAGATGGTGCTGAATGACTTAACACAGGATTGCCCAAAACCTTTTATTTGTAAAAAAGATGCAGTATCTGGGAAGCACAATAAAGCAAAGTACAATAAAATGAAGCATGATTGTACTGTGTAATAAGGAAAGGGTGAAATTTACCATTCCTTTGTTACTTTATGGATAATAGCTACTACAATGCTGATGGTAGTGGTTATGTGCCCTGGAATCGATTTCAACTCATAGTGACCCTGTATAGGGTTTCTGAGGCTGTAAATCTTTACAGGACCAGAAAGCCTCATCTTTCTTTCGCGGAACTGCTGGTAGTTTCGAACTGCTAGCCTTGAAGTTTAGCAGCCTGACTTGTAACCACTACGCTACCAGAGCTTCTTATTATAACGATAAAGAAATTGTAGGGAAAAATTGTAGCACCAAATCAAGCCCCGATCCAATCCTTTTGGAGTTACCACTGCTAGTTTTAATGCTGTTCTAGAAAGGGAAAATCATGTTGAAATGACAGGAGTTACCTTATCATTGGGAACACAGTGATTCCAGATGATAAGCACTGGACTTTGAACTACAAGGTTCCTGATTTGAGCCAGTCAGCCGCTCCATGGGAGAAAGACGAGGCTTTATGCTTCTGAGAAGATTGAAATCCCTGGAAATCTTATAAAGGTTCGCTGTGTGACAGAACTGACTCAGAGGCACTTACAGAGAGGCACTTAACAACAAACCAAAAAAGTAGTTAGGGAAGACATTGTTGAAATGAGGGTATATAGTAGAATTAAGCAGTTTTATTGTAGATTGAGTGATACCTCAGCTTCCTGAGAAACTGTTACTAAAATGGATTATGAGAGTGACTAATTTAGGGGCAGAGGCTTAGTTTTAAATGCTGCAGAATGGAAGAGTAAGCTCACTATGGAACAGTCATGAATGGCAATATAAAATCCAGTTATACAGCAGGTTATCTGGAGGGGACGGCCAGCCTTGTGGGCTGGATAAAATCCACAGTGAAGTTTGTTTACTCTAAGAAATGAGACTGCCCCTCTCTTCCTGTGAATACAAAATGGAATACTCCAAGGGAAGCAGCTGTTATGTTGCTTGTGCAAGCCTTGCTGGATTGGCTTTGGGGGGGGCGGGGGGTCAGGATATCCATCCATTGAGTATTCCCATTACACAGGTTATAGTAAATAACAGTGATCAAGAAGGCCCCTTCTACAAGGGCACCCATCTGAGCAACAGTCTGAGAAACTTTGTTGGATCTATTGGCACAGCTTCCCATCATGGATCTTATAATAGCAAAAACAGTCAGGGTTATAAACAGAAAAATGGAAAAAAAGGTAGAAATTCCTCCTCTGGCAGGAATGAAGCTTTCCGATGGTTACTAAGAAATGGGGTGAATGTAGCAGAAGCTGATGGAATAAGATGGAGGTTCTAATGTAGTACAGGAGATTGGGTGGGCCAACAAAAATGCTTGTTGGTCTCCTAACGTTACGTAGGCCTAAAGAAGTGCATTCTAGACATAGTCATCCAAGATAAAAATAATAATGTTTAGATGGGAGAGCAGTTAGGCAAGTTTGCATGGGTTAAATGGGACAGAGGTAAATAATGATGTATGCACAACCTTGGAACAACAGGACTCTGGGATACAGAGATTGAGACATGGTTGGAATGGGGAAAAGGGTGGAAATAATGTTAAGATGCTTGGCTGTCTTATGAATCTTGGTTTCCCTTGCATACCATTATAAAATAGACACTTGAGGGGGAGAGAAAGGAATAGCCAGAAATATCACCATAGAAAGCTTGTAAGTCTGTCATCTGCCTAAAACTGATTGGAATACCTAAAATGGGGCTACAGTGTGCCCAGTGAAGTAGGCTTCCTGCAGAGCCTCTGCATTACATAAGACCATAGGTGGAGTTCTGAACAACATCCAGAATCTTCAGAGGAGGGAAATTTCTACTTGAAATGACAAGCAGACCAGCTTGGAGCAGCTAGAACAGAAGATATTTCTTGAAAGAAATGCCTATAGGAAAAATACAAAACAATACAGCCAGACTGACTGATTACTACAAGAACTAGCAAGTTGCTCACCCAGGAGACATCAAGGCAAGCAGTCAGGTCCCCTCAGCGCAAACCCCCTTCCAACACAAAGACTAAATGGGAATACACGCTCTAATTGGTGCCCACGTTCATCACCGATAAGGGAAGTGAGGGAAAAACAGCAATGAAGCTGCAAGCTAAGCCATACAACGTTCAGTAGACTCCTGTGAATCCTGGTGGAGACCTGGTTGGCCAGCAGTGTGGCAAGACCTGGGTACTCTTGGGCCCAGGGTCAGTGACATAGCACAGAGGACTAGAGTGGAGAGTGAATCGTCCAGCTGATAAGAAGAGAGGGCATACATATGCACAAGAACACCTACTCCTGAAGATAATACCCACTTAACCTGGCTTCAATAACTGGATGATCAGAGCTCAACTAGAAGAAAGGAGAGGGAAAAAAAAGAGTAATCTGATACAATTTGATGAATTTGACCTACGCCTATGGATGGAGTAGCTCAAAAGAGGGAACAAATCTTTACAGCAAGGAT